ACTTTTTGTGATATATTTAAATATAGAAGATTTTTTACAAAAAACTTTTTGAATTTATTTGAATTGCCTTGCTTTTTTTTAAAAAATTTAGTAAAAAGGGCAAATATTGGTTTCAAAAAAAATTTGTTTGAGGTCTTCTCACATTTTTAACGCAAATAACATTTAAATTAATGAAAAAAAAATTGATTTTTTTTTGCTTCTCTGAAACAAAATTTAATTTTTTTTTTCATCAATTTAAACGTTATTTGCGGTAAAAATGTGCAAAAACCTCTAAATTTTTTTTTCTATTTTAATAATGATTATGGAGTGATTAAGCTCAAAAAACGTGACTCTTAATTTTCTTTTAAAAGTTTGACTGAAACAAAGAAACGGTTCGCTAGATCGTGATGAAACTTCACAGGATTCTTCTGGGTACATCGAACTATAAAAGTCACGCGTAACATTAGTTATTTCGTGAATATTTCTAATTTAGTCGTCAATTTTCTAAAAAAATAAATTACCCTTTCTTTCCTATTTTTAAAATTCGTGTAAAAAATTTCCGAAAAGTTGTGGCAGCATGTTATAGAAAATTTATTCCAGTTTTCGAAACTGCCCTTCAATTCTCTGTACGACCAAACGAAGACAAAAGGATCCTTTTCTATTAAAAGTACGATATTTCGATTAAACTGAATAAAGAACATTTTATGATATGGACTACTTCTAATCTTTCCTTCATTTGTCTAAAAACATTTATACCTATATAAAAGTCGTTTGTATACAAGCTAAACGGTTGTCTGTTTTAATCATCATCAGCATATGGTTTATTTGAAAAAAAAAAACGAAATAATGCTTGGTGAATTTAAAAAATTTATAATCAAATATTATTTCACAAAAATTTTTGGAAATAATCATAACTTCCAATAACAGACAAAATAAAAAAAATTATTGCACTAATCCCAGATTTCTCTCGTTCTACAAAAGTAGGCATATCTTTTAATATTTGTACAATTAATGCAAAAAATCGTTAATTTTATGTACGTTATTATTTTCTAAACATGTTTCATTCATTAAAAGCTTAAATATTAAGAAAAGTGAAAATAGTACTTACTGTACTTGTAGCAGTTGTAATACTCAAGCAAGAAAGATTGCGACGAAGAAAGTGGAAAATCGTTCGTGCTTTCCAGTCTAACAAAAGAAGAAAGAGAATATGCTGGAACAGATTTCGACAACTTTGACGAAGGTTGATATTAGACGCTATCTATATTATTTATTTCCATGTGACGGAAAGTTAGTTTAACCTACAAACAGCACTTTTTGCAAGCTAACGTATTTCCTTATTTTTTACATACATACCTACTTTACCACAGTATTTCTAAAACATTTATAAAATTTCTCAACTTGTCAGTTTTCACCTTCTCCTCATTTTGTTTTTGATATTCGTGAAAAATATTTTAATTTAGTTAATGATATTGTAGGGAAAAATAATACTCATGATAATAGTCAGAAATATATAATTCCATTAAAACTAAACGTACTATTATGATAATGTAGGCATTGCAGTATATAAAATTGCTGAAAAACATTGCTTAAGTATATCACAAGAGCCACAAAAATCATTAAAATTATGACAATAAAGCATTAGTTGATATGGCATGATTACCAGCAACATTATTAACAATTTTACGCGACTAATTGTTGAGATTGTATACGAGAAACTGATCAGTTGATATCGTGCAGCCAAAATTAAAAATAAATAAAAATATCAGGGATCTGTTTTTTGCAACCACTTTTCAATTTTTCAATCTTAAGTTTTCATTGTACATAATTAGAAAAGTAAACAGTAATTCTGTTTTATAAAAAAAACCTTTTTTACATTAATGTTGTGTTGTATATTACAATCTATTCTCTATATGAAGTCCTCTCATTTCAAGACACATATCCAATCTTCGCCTGACTTCTTTGTATGCTTTCGAACAGAAAATGCATCTTCATTTCGTCGCAAGGTCGCCTCCAATCTTGTAAAGGTTCTATGATCAGGAATGAGGCGCTCTGGATACCTCTCTACAGCTCTTCTTGAATTTTTTTGTGACTCGCCATAAATTAGCAACGTATCAACTTTTTCTGAATGAGAAAATATTTTAAAAGCACAAAAGTTATATATTTGACGTTCGTACTGAGTAATGACAAGTATTTTGTGACATTTATGCACGTTAAACAACGAACATTTAATTATTTTCCAATGACTTCCTTATCCTTCCTTCCGCTAATGTGATTTTTAGGTGGTAATTGTTTTGAGACTCTTTAGAACGATATTGCTTATAACTTTTAAACAGGAAGTTTGACACACCCTGTACATATAAACTGTTTTGTGATCATTAATTTTGAAAACTGCAAGATAGAAGAGTGTAATGTGAAAAGTTGGAGAAATCTTCCAATTTCTTGAGTTTCTGTTCTTTGAAAAATAGTACCTACCTTACGTCATTATCTTACTTACTCTTCGACTCTGCACAATATTTTGTAAAGAGAATTGCTTATTTGCAGATCAATTTGAATGATTTTTCATTAGAAGTACCGGTAGTACCAATCTTGCATTAAGAATAATTTGATGAACCATTTTTGGTTTAATGATTCGTAAACAGACTAAAGAAGAAGGCGTGCAGCTTATAAAATTAAGAAAGAATACATTTTTAAGGTATAAATGATACTCTTTTCAATAGGCATGTAACTAAAATACTTGGCCAAATTTTAAATTACAAATTAACACAGTGTTAATTAACAGTGTTAATGTAAATAAATGACTGGAAAGTCTCTATTTTCAAGACAGAGGATATTAAACATTTACAGAAAAATACCTAATCGATTTTTTTTTTATTTAAAAAAAAAAGCGGCAAAGGTAATTTCATTCAAATTTGGAAAGTTGCTTAAATTTTTTATTATCTGAACAAGTACATGCATATCACATTATTAATCACTAGAACATAAAAGCTCTTATTCAGTATTACAAATGAGAGAACTGAGGCAAAAATTACTTGAGAAAAGGAACAATGTGGTCAAAAATGTATACCGGTCGCCAACGAATGGTATGACGTCACAACATGGCTGTCGTTGTTTTCCTGTGCTCCATTTTCATTCACTATTTTGAGGAAGAAAAAAATCTGATTTCTTGTACGTCAACTAAGTACGATGTGTTCTTCCTGAATATGAATGTAAAAAATATGTTAAATGATTCCATTATTGCACTGAAAGAAATGCGCTTTATTCTTTATTAGAATTCTATATGCCATTATAAGACCATTGTATACTATATGTGACAGTTAAACAGGTGAATATTGGATATAAAACGCGTACTGCTAGCACAGTTGTATAGTGACTATAAACCTTATTCTTTATTAAATTATCGTATAACTAGTATACAACGTTTTTTATATCCTTTACGAAATAATAGCAATAACTGTTATTAAAGTGTTCCATATCGTTATTAGAAGATCTAGTACTAGTTATAAGTTTTATAATAATAAATGTATTAAACTGTTGTATACTATGTATGAGTTAAAAACATTGACGTTAAGTTTTCAGAAATTTTATTGGATAACTGTAATTACAAGCTAAGGTTCTAATGTAAACATAAAACATACTTTTAAGCATTAAAAATGATGACAAATCGCTCCCAAAACTGTCCAGTTTATTTTCTTAGCAACGATGCACCCGTATTTTCTTGTATTACATAAGAATTTGCACTATAACTCTTCCACCTTGAGAATTAAGCATCCCCTGAAAGGTTGAGCTTCTTTCCATCTAATTATATTTCCTCTGGTTAATTGACCCATTGCTCTTCTTTGTCACCGTGAACCTTCCGTTCCTCCATCTTATGTAAAACTTAACACCAGCGGTTTCTAATAGGACATACAAAATAATAATTTTTAAGATTTAGACAAGATTTACATTTGAAAAACAAAACAATTGCAAGCCATAAAACAGTTAGATACTTACATAATTTTCCATTTCACACAACGCGATATGATCATGTATCCCACAAAACATGTGCCTATACTGTCTATTTTCATCAAACTAGACGTGTAATAGTCGTAAGTCGATGCACAGCGGACTGTCGGAAATTTTACGACCATAACCGAGATGTACCGAGAGGTGACGATCACTAAACCATTATAAGACGCGTTTTACACGTTAAAAACGGAAACATAATCAGTATAAGAACGAATAATTATATTAATACAATTGTTATATACAAATTCGGATACTGGTCTTTATACAACAAATCTTCCCTACTATACAATTGGAACATAGTCTATAACACCTAATAATGTATAAGTAATTCATTATAACCTTTATTTCATAGATGCATAAGCACCTTCCAGTTAACCTCATTGAATAATGAGTATGGAGATGATTGTTTTTTTTTTAATAAAAGTTGTATATTGGTTATAAAAGTTTTAATATGCGCTATACACATTATTCTAGATAAACAGTTTAATAAGCCCATTTCTTTCAGTGTCACTATTACAGGATCATCTACAAAACTGGACACACTCTATCTAGCACAAGATTAAAGACAAATGTAAATCTACGTACGTCATCAACATCAGTTCATCTGACGTACGTTTTGGTAATCAATGAACATTTAACAATGTCGAACTGGTGACATCTATTACTTTTTATTATTCAGACAGTTTAGGTAGTTTTGAACTTGTTAACAACGACGAATAAGTATCTAATAGCCGTTTCATTACATTATTAAGCCCAAGTCGACAGCAAATTTTTACCACCCCTCCCTCATAATAGACCGATAAATATTTCATAAGCGCGCGTAGTTGTAAATATAAGTACCTGCATAATACATACAATCCACCGAAGACCAAATTACGACGATATTTTCCCAAATTATGTAATGTTCATTGTTGTATTACTAAAACTTCACGGACCTGCGCAACTTATTCATCTGAAACGGACGTCCATATACGAGTTTCAGTAGCATCGCGACGCCTGTAAAAGCCAGTCCTTAAACGGCGTCTCGCTGGCATTTCTCGAGCGTGTTCACAGTGACTGGCGTCACGACATAAAATAAATTATCGGTAACTACAAGATAAAAACAGGAAGTGAACCGTAACAGACTGATAATATTTGAGGATAAATATGTCCTTTGCAGCTGTTGACCGCCAATCTAAAAGTTCTGCGATGAGTGACATTTGAACTACCGACTAGTTACACTGTGCAAAATGAAGTTTAATTGTGAGCTAAACTTCTCCCTAGTGTTTGTCTTGTTGGCGTTTGGTAAGTATATTTTTCGTTTTAATGGGGGGTGCTTAAAGTAGAACCCTGGGAATTAATTAAAAACTATAAAGAAAATGAAAAGATATGGAACATTTTAAAGGCGATAACCTTAAAATTTCGCAACGTTTAAGAGCACGTTATATCCAGTTGCGCCAATCCAGATCCAGACTATTAAATTTATGCTCCTCACAAAACAGGAAATATTGCCTCTAGTTGAATTAAAAATACATCTACAGTAAAATTTTATACCTGGAAAGAGTGCCTTCTTGCCAGCCTGACAGGAAAAGGTATGCGATATTATCCTGTCCTTTTCCCAGATACCTACGTACGTACGGAAAATCGTATTTTGATGTAATTTATTTAAAATAAAATGTAGTGAATTTATACTACAATGTTAAACTTTAAAACATTATCTATTTTCACAAAAGTTGGTATCAAAGGGTCATACGAAAGGTCAATTTAATCATGTGTTGGAAAGTTCGGATAAATAAAACGGGAACTCCAAATGGGGGAAATTTAGCAAAAGCAAAAGGGTTTATAAAGGGAATTAATGTTAATTAATATCCTTTTCCATTACGCAGTGGAATTTGAACGAACTTTATATGGGAATTAATTCAGTGTAAATCGTCCTTGAAGGTCGAATAAAAACTGTTTGTTTCCTTCATGCCTTGATGTTTGGAATTATTATTTTCCGTGTAACAAATTAAGTCACAACAAAAGTCAACTCGCTGTAGACTGACTGGGGTGCTTTCAATGTTAAAATTAATTATAATTTCCTTAAGTTCTAAACCCATCTTTATGCAAACACAATAATAAATAATTATTATGTGACAACCTATAAACTCGAATTTTGTTTGAAGATTGAATCCTTCAAATCAGTTGTATGGTAGTGACTGACACGAATTTAATATTTCATTTTGTATATCCAGTTCTTTATTATATGATCTGAGGACATAACAAAGGTATTTGTTATAAACCAAATCTGTCCTGAAATATGATCCAGTTTATGCCGATCAGATGGAAATATAAAGAAATTGTGGTCAGTATCACAATAGCCATCAAGTTATCGATTTATCCATTCCCATCTGTATCTCAAGCTCCAATATCGGCAACCAGAGATATAGCAAAGACGTCTCAAATATACGGAATATTTAAGTATTGATGTAACACTCCAAAGTTTTAACGGATACAATATTATCACTGTCAAATTTCATTAAATATAGGTTCGGGAAATTCCACAACCCTTGTCGTGACGACTGTGTAGATATTAAATGTTCTTAACTGATTGAATTCGAAATATTCTAAATTAATATCCGATATTGATAACTGAGCAGATATTTTGGAAGGGTTATGAAATATTCCAGAAGAGGGAAAAATTGGTTCTGAAAATGTGTTGAATATTTAAGGGAGAAACATAATCAGCTATACAATAATGATGATGATGGTTATGGTTATAATGAAGACATGATACGATAGAAATAGAATAAGCATACAACCCGTTGTCCAAAAAATAAGATGAATTTGTTTAAAAAATAAAAAATCTTTATGCTTCCAAAGCAAATCCGGAAGACTGAGGATAAAAAGTTGCTCCTGTTATTAGTAATGACACAATAAATACTATATAAGTAGAATACTCAACTTTTTCCTCGGATTTGTACAAGAAAACGTTAACCATGTGTGATGGAAAGAGACTGGAAAGCTCTTCTTTGTCCACGAGTGATGAGTCTAAAAATATCAGCAGGAGTTGCTCCAAAATTCCATTGGATTTTATTTCAGTAATACCAGAACGTTATGATTTAACATAACTAAAATATTAGGCTAACCTAGATTCGAAACATTCCTCGTAATTTTAGACCATTGCTTCCTCATTTTCCACTGAATAATGTTGCACATTCCACTTTATTTGTTCAGCAGTTCATTATTGATTTGTATATTTTAATGTCATGTCTATTATTTGCAACTCACTTTTTAATAAATTTCATAATTTAAAACATAAATGCAACAAATTATGTTGTTACCATGTTAATAAATTTGTAACTAGTCACAACTCGTTTTGTGTCCAGTGCAAGTACTAACTATTTAAACGCCTGTAATTATTTATGTACCTGTATAAAATTTATTGAGGAATATCTAGTATTAGCTTTACTGTGGCGATACCAAAGAAAAGTTTCCTGGGCGATAAAAGTTTGCAAATTGCCCAAGTTTTCCGGAAAGTGTTAACCAACGACTGATACGGATACATAAGTATAAGGAGCTACAACCAGTATTTCTTTCTCAAAGACAAAATGTATACAAAATAGTCTGAAATCCAAAATCAGTTTTAAATATTGTAATAGTAGACATTGTTACAATTTTTTAATTGTTCTTTCATATTTCTCGTTTTTCAACTATTCTATTTTATCTATCTTGCATTTTTCCTCAACTCTTTAAACAGATATGCTGGCATTCATTTTATACTCTTACAGAAGATAAATGCATAACATGTTCTATTTTTTATAAAAGTATTTAGAAAATCTGTAGCAAACTTCTCCCCAATGAAAATTTTCTATTTCTTGTTTGCATCGTTTCATTCTTATACTTAGTACATAGCACTTCTAAAGGTGAGATGTAACAAGTGAATTTACCGATTTTCTGTTAGATTTAGGTCGCTCTGAAGTGTAGCAGCTCGCAAGTGGTCGTAAAAGTGAGAAGTTTGGAACACTAAATACATCTGTCTATCTATATGTGAGGTTGCAGGGTTATGCAGGTATACGTAAGCGATGTATATATTCGGCACCATAATTCTAGCTTTTATGAAGGTCGTGGTTCATGCTAGCAGGGGTGGATTTTATTTATTATGAGACCTTGTTCCATTCCTTAACGACGACTATCATTCTTCCAAGTCTTTCGATTTTCTCTAGTGTTTGCAGCCCTAAATATGTAACCTTTGACATATTCTTTTTTTCCTGTCTTGCGCTGGATATATCCGAAGTGGATGTGGAGGAGCATTACCGTCTATAGATATAAATTTATCGTCCACAACCCTTCTGAATTATCTGTACGTATATCCGAGACATTTTATGTTAAAAAACTGATATACTACTGGGGGGGGGGGGTCAGTATATGGATAGCCATTATCAAGTGTAGAATTCTTCAGTCGAATCACTGTTTTTTATTCCATACATAACCATACAAATTGGTTATCTGTCCTCATTTTGTGGGTACTTCTAGTTTATACAGGGTGTTTTGTAGTTTTAGATTTCCCCACCTACATTCATAAACGACGATGTAGTTGAGGCCAGTGGCGGCTCGTGACATTGTGAATAGGTGAGGCCTGTGGCTTTTTTACTAAGTGAGCAAAAAAAATTTCAAGGTCACGATCTCGAAATTTTTAGTTGCATTTACAATATTATAGAAGAACTGATGTTCACGCAGGGTTTCCGTTCAGATTTTATAAAAAATAATACGCAACTATTTGGAAATTTTATTTGTCCTCTCTCAAATAATAAATAGGAATAAATTTCCACGTAATTTTTTATTATGGAAATATTCGCCAATAGCAATACTATAATCGCAAATTAAAAAATTATATTATTAATAATAGTATCAAAACTTAAAAAATTGTATGTACAATAAAATTAAGTAACAGAAAAAAACGAAGTGATATATTTACCTAATAATTAATAAAATTGTTCCTACTTGGTTTATGAATATTAAAAAATATACTTCTTATATACATATAAAACACAAACACCGCCGCCAGTTTTTCGTTTGCCTCCACTTTTAACAAAATATTGCACCTACTGGTCAAAATTCATTACATGCCTCAGTTTTTGAATCCGTCAACTTCGTGAAGGCCTACAGCTAAAATCACATACTTCCCCCCTCTTTATCTCTGAAACTATTCATAGGATCACTTTGGGCCCATGACAACTTTTGATCAGAAAGTCAAAAACTATAACGTACTGCAATTTCAGTAGAATCGACTGGGGCCCATTTTCCATTGATTTTGTGCGGAGTTCTTTAACAAAGGCGCTTCCAGAATATACCCTATAGTAGAATAATGGTGTTAAAATATACGGTGTGAGAGCCAAATTTTCAGTTGCTTCATACGACGAGTCGCCACTGGTTGAGGCTATAATTTTATTCACTGCTCTGTGCACCATAAACACATTATTCGCCATTTTAACTCAATAAAATGTATGGAATGATTAGAATTCAGGAATAGTTTCACAGTTTATGGAATGGACATGGAATTAATTTTATTACTTCCTCCTATTTTTGGGGTACAGAACAGACCAATCAGATTTATTTATTGGAGTAATAAAGCTAATAAAGATTTCATAACGTTGAAGTCCGTCAGGATATTTATAGGAACAAAGATACATTTTTTAGGTGCGTTTAAAATTGTATTTGAAAATTCCGCATGTTCTAAATTCGACTCGAAGTTGGATAAATGAATTATTTACCACTTGAGTGGAAGGGCTGGTTGGGTAGGCGTCCGCCAACAACTCTTCCATCTAAATCTAAATTTAAACTGATCGATCTGGCGGCTAGTGACTTTAAATTTTAATAAGGGTTGGGCGTACAGCCGGAATATTTGATATTTATTATTACGGATGCATTTATGATCCCATAAAATTGATTACACTTTATTGAAGCACGAAGTTATTACTTATAAAGTAAATGTACTAAATTCAGTTATTAATTAAGTATATTGGAAAAAAATTCTATTTAGATGGTAATATTAATGAAATTACTGTGTTTAAATATAAATGAAAGTTCATCTAAAAATATCTTTGAAGCAAAATGTTAAATATACATTGACATATAATTTATTACGGTCGTAAAACTGCTTTCAAATTTATTTATTTTACTTAATTCATCCAAGAGGAAGAAAATCAATTATAAGAGGAAATAATATGAAGAAAAATATGTGTGCAATACAATAAAATTACAATAAAAAAGACAAAAATACAAACAAATTTATAAACTGTTTAAAAAAATACTTTGACAATGAA